ACAGCAGCATACTTGGGCAGCCATGGGACAGAGAACCCCTAGTTTGTGAAGCATGAGGAAGTGCTTAGCTATGCTAAGCAGACAAAGGTCTGGGCTGTCTGGAATATGTCTGGGCTGTCTTAAAAACTATTAAATTGTCAAATATCAGTTGTGAAATAGTTCAGGCACAGAATACCTGGCAGGCTCTACTGACAAGTTAGTTAATCCTATAAAGCTTGGAGTTCATGTCAGGATCATCTGAGTGGCAAATGGCAGTCACCACCAACATGGCTATCATCATGTCAACTTGTGAAAGGCCCAGAATTTCAAAAGTATCTGAAGTTTCTAAGGGAATTGGAGTTTTCTGTGACTTTAACTTATTTTGAGATATGTCTTGATATTGAAAACCTGTGTGGCCAACAAAAGCCTGGACACAGCCTGGAAAAAATGCCTACTTTTTAGGCTAGAGTGTAAGGCTATATTCTAGAAGAACAAAACCACACTGGTTATTAGCAGGGGGATTGATCATGAGCACAGGCGGCTATGTGGACTTGAACCTGCAGTCATTCAAAGGTCAGTGGTGCTCCCCAGGCTCTCGAGAACTATGCTTTTAAATTTCTTGGTGTAATTTTTCCAAAGTTTAGGCATTGAAGGAAAAATAGGAGGGTGTGGAATATAGAAAGTAAATTTTTTTGTTTGTTTTTGTCTTTTCAGGAGTGTGAAACTGCCAGCCAACTTATTATAAATAAGACTAAACTGTGTCTCACACCCATGTCTGTAACTACTTGGGATTTAGGTAACGGCCAAGAAATTATCAATTTCTGAGTTTTAAGAGCTCTGAATACCTGGGTGTTTGCAGTGAGGCTTCCCACTGAGTGTTTTCACATACACAGAATGACACAGTTCCTGTAGTCTGAAGGTGGGTTTAAAAAATAGTGTTTTAGCTGGGCGTTGGTGATGCACGCCTTTAATCCCAGCACTGGGGAGGCAGAGGCAGGTGGATGTCTGTGAGTTCAAGGCCAGCCTAGTGTCCAGAGAGAGTGCCATGATAGGCTCCAAAGCTACACAGAGAAACCCTGTCTTGAAAAACAAAACAAAACAAAACAAAAAATAGTGTTTTAAAATGCCAGGGGGAGCCTCTGTGGAAGATAGCAATTCTGCTTTGATGCTTCATTTCTTTAATATCTAAAATCAATAGACTAATACAAAAGAGTTCTCAGCTTAGAATAGATCCTTGTTAGTAATTTAGTTTGTGTCATCCAATAACGCTCACTAGCTTGTGGTCACATCAGAGTTGACAATGAAGAGGCCTTCACTCCACCGAGCAAGGAAACAAGCGAAGACATGTGAAGCTGCATTCCAGTTTCAATTTTGTTGTCACCCATAAAGCAATCACTGTCCATTTCTAATGTGGCCTTTGAAAGCCATCTGTCATAGGTTCCCCAGCATTCAACATTTGTTAAAAAAATGCCCAAGTAAACAGTAAAAAGGGACCAGCTCTAAGATGAAACAAATAGTTTGTTGTTCCCTCATGTCAGGGAAAGCATACATTTATGAAGAGTGAAGAACAATTGTGAAAAAATCTGAAATGTGTTTGGATTACTTGAATATTTGATAGTTTGGGAATTCTTTCTCATTTGCAGAGGGACTTTGCTCTGGTCCCTCTGTGTTTCCATGCCCCAGTTCCCCCATTTGCAAATCAGTCATCACAATCACACCTATCGCATACACACACACATAAATGCTGGTACAGAAGACGGTGGTCTGCTGGCAGGGTGTCCTCAGAGCTTGGCAGACTGGTGTGGCTTTTATGTTTGCAGCATAAGAATGTGGTAAATGTTGGAGAAGAGCATCTTGGACTTGTTATTTTCATTTTTTAGCATCTTACTGTTCACAAAAATCAAAGACCAGATGTTATACCTCAGTTCTAAAAAGTTGTTATTAACATTGGAAAAGCTTCACAAATTAAAATGATCATATAGCAAATATCTGTTTGTGTAAGCAGTAAAATAATATCAGCATAGGAATCTCTTCATGGGGAAAACACACAGACTTCTATAAAGCAAGAAAGAGAGCTGTGCCACTCTCCAGATTGTCTTCCAGTCCTGTTCCAAATGCATATGACCTTTATTGAGGGTTTCTCTCACAGGAAAGAATATTGTTCCCTTTAGCTGTCATGCCATCTGACATGAAATGGACTGCTGTGCCAAGAGCCATACTAACTGACAAAGAACCAGGCATTGTGAACGCATGTGAATTACCCCAAGTTACAATGTCTTGCCCCAGGGGAGGTTCAACTTTTTGATGGTGTGAAGATCATTTGCCTTCATCAGAAATAATACTAAATTTAGAACTTTGACCCTTACCCAGGTTAGTAATATGTGGCACAATAGGACCTTGTGCTGGACAGTGGCCATAGCTCCAGGTGGTGGCAGAAGAGAGGAAACCAGCATTCCCCATTGCTAACCTACTGTGATGGAAAGGCTGAGGGTATTCTCTACCTTTTAGAGAGGAGGTATTGATGAAAAAGGGCTGGAGAGATGGCTCAGCAGTTAAGAGGCTTCTTTCTTTTCCAGAGGACCCAAGATTTGTTCCCAGCATTCATGTTGGACAGCTCATAACCAGCATTAACTCTAATTTCAAAATATTGGCCCCTTATTCTGGCCTCCATGGGTAAACAGGCGAAATACACTCATATAGACACATAAATTTTAAAAAATGTATTTAGCAATATTATATACATGAATAAAATACTATAATGTTGCATAGCTCTTTCCTCCAAGATGGAAACTTTCCATCTCACTGAAGCTCCAAAAGCCAGAAGGTAAACAACCCAGAAGAGCTTCACAAAGTCCCTGAAGTGACCAAACTCCTGAGGCCTTTTCCTCTCAAGCTTAAGCAATAAAAGCTGCTGACAGCCTCACTCAGACAAGTCAAGCTTCAAAGATTGAGACCAGACCAGCTGCCTAGACCAAACAGAAAGCAGCTGAGTGCCTTGAAGGGGCTTAGATCAACCCAGTCATTGGAAAGGACAGTCTCTAACCTCCCGCAACGCCTGCAGGCTGTGCAGGGTGTTCTGAGTCCCAGCTTTGCTGTCACCTGTGCTGGAGTGGCTTTGGTGATGCAGCTGTCTTGAGTTATTTCTGTTCCTGTAAGTAACCCCTCACCCACATTCCTGTAAGTAACCCCAATAAAACACATAGATTCACCAATCTGGAATTTGGTTTGCTGTGGGCTCCCTATCTGGGGTGAGTAAACATGTGTTGCATCTCCCTAGGAAAAGTCTTGTCATACAACCCATAATAAACCCAATTATTTTGTATGACTAATCTATGTAATAAAAATAATTCAGCATCAAAAAAGAAAAAAATTCAAGAGTCATGTATTCCAGGCTGGCCTTGAATTTGTGTGGCTGAGGATGACCTTGACCACTTACCTTTCCGCTTCCATCACCCAGTTGCTGGGATCAAACTATGCTGGGCCTTGGGCATGTAAGGCAAACACTCTACAAATTAAGCCACATCACCAACTTCTGTTTTGTTGTTGTTGTTATGTTTTTTTTTTTAAAGGAGAATAGTAAGAAAACTCTTGGGATGATGCTTGAAGAGATTTTAATAAAGTTAAAGGATTGGACTCTTAAAAAGATCTTTGCATGTGTTTCACGTGTTGGTTCTCTTTCAACAGTGGATTTTGGGAATCTGCCTTGAGCACCAGCTTTTACCCTCTGAATTGTTTCACCTGCTCAAAGGTGAAAACTGGGCATGGAAAGGTTATTTTAAACATACTTAAGACTTTGAGACAAAACCAGGTTATTCCAGTATTTTCCAGACTTGGTCCTTGTTTCTCCTGAAGTGTTTTAATCTATTCTTTTGTTCATGCTGTTGCCAACACTACCATCATTGTGGGTGTGGGTTGAATGCAATGCCAATGTTTTCTCAAATTTAAAAAAGAAAAAAAAACTTTAAACAATATCTTCAAAATTTTTTTCTTCTTCAAAGAATCAGAAAACTGCCAAAGCTTTGTCACCTGTCAATGTGGTGCCCTTTCAGACTGGCGTGAGCAGCCCACAGGCCAGCCTTGATGGACAGAACTGGGCACAGAGGTGTTAGGCTGTGCTGTTCTGTCTGATCTTGGCTGTACAGGACTATCCTTCAAGCCCAACCACCACCAGCTCCAGGATCTTCTGGGCCTGCTGGCAAATAATCATCACAGCTGAGTCTGTTGGTCCTTGACCCTCCCTCATAGAATGAATGGGCAGAGAGGATTATGGGACCTTCCCCTGAGAACCCAGCCACCTTTTCCAACCAGCTGTATGCAATGCTTACCTAATTGCATGTGGTGGGGGGGAGAGGCTAGAGAATATAGTTAGGGAAGGGGGAGGGGAGGGGCTCCATCTACATATCCTAGGGGTGCCAGTACTCCTGCTGGGTGCAGACCTTCCAGTATGGTTGTTTTAAGGTCACCAATGCTCCTGCCCATGTGGGTGTGTATGATCGAGTGGCAGAGGAGTGGGTGTGTGCTGTGGTAGACACATTGGCCCAGAATATGTGCTTTTGACGGTCTCTCATGAATTTCTTCATTTTATTCCTGTTTATTGATGTAAGCTAAGTGACTTTCAATGGCTAGATTTTTCTTTATCTCTATTTCTTTTGTTTTCAACCATGGTTCTGATTTTTTTTTTTATTATAAAAGCTTGTATGTTTTAGAGTGTTTCCTTCACTTTACCTGGTTGCTTAGAAACAACAAGGTTTCTTTGAGATTTGTCTTAATTAAATGAGAGAAAGGGCAGGAAGGAAGGTTCTGGTAGATCTGCCTTGCTTTGGAGTCTCTTTCCCCAAGCATCACAACACATCTTGTTCCTTCTGATGACAGATAAAAATCTTGTCTGTATTTAGGGACTCAAATGGTTGGTAAGTTAATACTGAAAAATTTTGCTCTAAATGACACCTCAGAGCCAAAAAGACAAATCCAAGTAACTGAACCACTTTCCTATATTGTAGTGAGAGATCTACCAGACTCACCTGTAGTGCTGACCACGCCCATTTGGGCGTGTTCACAGATGCCTATGTGAGCGTGTGGGATTTGGTATGGAGTCCAGGACAGGTTTGCTGTCTCTTGGTTCCTGTCGGGTCATGGAGAGAAGCAGAGCTGGAACTTGTGGGTTATTGGTTTCTCATGTAGGTGACTTCTCCCTGAATAAAATTAACCTATATCTGTCCTAGTCCCCTATATCTTAATCTGTACATCTACACTATAGTTTAGGCTTTATTATTTTAAATTGATACATGAAAACATAAAAATTGTACATATTAATATGCCATGTACTGTTTAGATCAGTCCAACACTCCTTTCTTCTCCAATATTTATCATTTCTTATGGTGAGACCTTCCCAAGTCCTCTTGGCTGGCTCTGAGATGCCAGTAAGTGGCTGCTGTCTGTAGTGACCCTTCTATATGGTGGTACCCACAGCTTCTTGCCCCTCTCTGATTGTAACTGGTACCCATCATTCAGCCTTTCCCTGCTTCTTCCCCTACTTTACCCTCAGCTTCCCTGATCTCAGCTTTCATAATCATTCAGTGCTTGTCTTTCTGCATTTGGATTGACTCGTCTATGCTGTTGGAAATGATAGGACTGTGTACTGCTTATGGCTGAATAGCAGCCAGGTGTACATGGCCACTCTTCTTTATCAGCCGGTGGCACTCCATGTGACTGTTATGGGTCTTTCTGCAGTGACCTCGAGTGCAGGTGTCTCTTTGACATTCTGATTTCATGTCCTTTGGATTTGGACTCAGGAATGGGCTTGCTAAGTCACTGTGATATTTATTCTTGGTTTTCAACTTGACTATATCTGGAATGAACTAAAATGCAAGTAGCTGGGTACACTGGTGAGGATTTTTTAAAAATTAAATCATTTGAAGTGGAAATACCTAGTTTTGATCTGGATCTTTTGAGGTGGGAAGAGTCACCTCTAATCTGGGCCACACTTTCTCTTGGCAGCCTATGTAAAGGCATGGAAGAAGGAAGCTTGCTTTCTTTGCCTGATTGCTCTCACTCTTTCTGGCAAATCCATTCCTTCACTGGCATTAGAGCCTACTTCTTCTGGATTCTGCTGTATATTGAAGACCAGCTGAGACATCCAGCTTCATGAACTGAACAACTCCTGGATTCTTGGACCTTCCCTCTATATACAACCATTGTTGGACGAGCTGAACCACAACCTGTAACCCATTATAATAAATTTCCTTTCCCTATATATTCATTTTTAAAGTTCTATTCCTCTGGAGAACCTGACTAATATAGATTTTGTACCAGAAATGATTCTGGAGCAACAGAAGTATAAAGATGGAAATGTATGAAGTATCTAGAATAGGCTTTCCAATTTGCCAACACCTACAGTTATTGTAACCTCTCCTAGAATCTTGGAGAGTATTGAAAACCCATGATGTGAACTATTTTACAAATTTAAGGAGACAAATACATTTGATTATCATGATTGACCAATTTTGAGAGGTAAGATTTGGTGACTCTGTATATAAAATTTTGACACTTTTTGGAAAAATAAGGAAAATGATGATGCTGTTTGGTTGCTCCTAGCATCTCTGGATAGACTGACAAGGGAAAGGAATGCAGTCATGATAAAAAACTTCTAGCATCTCAGAATATGGGGGAGGACAGCATTGAACTCATTGCTAAAAATGACCGGCTCTAGATGAGCACAAACAGTCTGAAGGCTTCCAAGTGTGCCCTTGCGGAGAATCTCCAGTAGTCACAGAGCCCAGTTTTGGAAAATCAAACCAAAGCCCTCATTATATAATGTTGGCTGAATTACAGCAAGCATTCAAGTCCCAGCCTCAGAGGGTGTCAGTGGTTACAGTCAGGACATTAACTGGTACAGAATGGGATCCTGTAACCTGGCATGGGGATGTGTGGGAGGACCTGACTGAGGTCAAGAACTTTGAATGTCAGGTTCTCAAGGGTTTATCTCACCTGGGGAATTAGTCTCTACCCTCAGCAGAAGACGCACTCACTCTCCCATCCCCTGAAATACTGCCTTTTCTTCCTTTGGCTGAGGAAATGAATCCTTCATTGTCTGCTAAACCAGAGGTGTCTTTCTCAGAAGGGAATGCCAGATAAGACCAAACTGATGTCCCTCATGGTTAACCAATAGTTGCCTCTAGACATGTAATCAGACTAAAGGCTGAGCAGTCTCCTAGAAGGGAGCTAGAAAGTGTAGTCCATGAGGAGATATGCCACACTACTAAAGAGATAATGAGTTTTCTAATTCATTCAACTGGAAATCTGGGGAACATGTGTGGGAACGGATTTTAAGGATGTGAGACCATAGTGGAAGGAACATGAAATTGGATTAGGCTCAGTTTCTTGATATGGGCTCACCCAGTGGAGATTCTAGGTTTAATATGGAAGCTGCACAGTTTAAAAAGGTCTTAAAAGTTTGAATGTTTGGCTGAAGCATTTGTCCAAAGATGGCCTATCGAAAAGGTGTCGGAGGTGCCTGATGTCCCTTGGCTTAGTGTTGATGGGGGTATTTTAAGGCTCAGGGAAATTGCAATGCTGGCGTGGGTGCACTGTGCAAAACCTAATCCTCTGCAATGGGAAGGTCCTGAAGACACACCCTTCACTAATTCTGTAAGATGCCTAATAATGAGAGGGGCACCAGTACACTTGAAGAGCTTTGTTGTCACCCTTTTTCTTGTACCAGACCTTATGGTTGGAGATGCTGCTGCTCAGTTGGATGCATTAAACACAATGGGTTTAATTGGACCCCAAGGAAACAGGGCCAGGTGGCAGCACTGAGTCACCCAAAGAAGGTTATTGAAGTTATTGTGATGGTCAGCACAGGCAAAGTGACTTTTATAGTGGCATGACTCATGGACCTCTGTCTGGTACTGGCTAGTCAATCATGGTGTTTCTAGGCATGAAACAGATAAGAAGCCTACTGCATTTTTGTTTGATCTGTATAACCAAAAATAAAAAATAAAAAAATAAAAAAGAAGTTCTCAAAAAAAAAAAAATGAAAGAAAGGCTACATTGCATCACGACAAATGGAAATCTCAGTCAGTGAACCAATTTCCAGACTTGATCCAGTTTGCAGACGGAGAACTTCTTAATGAAGCAATCATTCTATATGTCCTATAAGATCTGTTCCTCTTGAGAACTCCAACTAATACAGTCACCTACTGATATTTTGAAGCTTTTGTTCAACCTTCATGCTGGCTTCCATAGAGGAGGTTTCCACCAAAAGTGTACAGGTTCCAACGTTCCATCTCTTACCTGGAACTTCCTGTCTTTAGTTTCTTTTCTTATTAATGTTTTTTGCTTGGGTGAGATGATGGCTTAGTGATTTAAATATGGGTTTCCCTGGTGATTGGCAACATTGCTCATTTCTCCATGTAAATCCATATTTGTATATGTTTATGTATATAATGCTTTCAACATAGCTCAGCCACTAACTCCTCCACCCCCATTGCCCATATTAAATTGAATTATTTATTTGCCATGGAGGTTTTGGAGTTCTTACTGAGTATTCTGGGTATCAACTGTTGCTAGGTGTTTGCACTGTAAATATTTGTCTCCTCCCTGCAGCTTTCTCTGCTCTCTGTTCAGTGTTTTCTTTTGCTGTGCAGGTTTCTAGTTTCAGGAAAGCATGCCTGTTTTTAGTCTCCTTTTCTGGTTTTGTTCAGTAAACACTTGTCTATTCCAATGATTAGAAGTATCTTACCTATTTTCTTCTCAGAGTTTCAGGCTTCATTTTGAGTTGGCCTTTGTAGTTGATGAGAGAAATCCAGTTATATCCTTCTGCTTGAGGCCATTCAATTTTCCCAGTGATATCTACTGGCGATTAGCCTTTCTCCAATATGTATCCTTAGCACATTTGTAAAGAATAACTTAGCTGTAGGTGTGTGGGGTTTTGTCTAGGTTTTCTACCCTGTACCATTGGCTTTTGTGTGTTTGTGTGTGTGGGTGGGGGTGTGGGGGAAGCTGTTTTATTACTGTAGCATTATAACATGTTTTGGAGACAGATAATGTCTTAGTTAGTTTTCAGTTGCTATGAAGAGACACCATGACCAAGACAACCTATAAAAGAAAGTATTTAATTGGAGTCTTGCTTACAGTTTCAGAGGATTAGATCATGACAGGGAGCATGGCGGCAGGCAGGCATGGCATGGGGAGCTCACGTCTGATCCACAAGAAGTAGGCAGAGAGAGAGACAGAGAAAGAGAGAGAGAGAGACAGAGACAGAGACAGAGAGAGACACACACAGGGAGAGACAGAGAAACAGAAGCAGAGAGAGAGACAAAGAGACACAGAGAGAGAGAGAGAGACAGAGAGGGAGGGAGGGAGAGAGGGAGAGGGAGGAGTAGGCTTTTGAAACCTCAACACCCAACTCTGACGGGAAATCCCCACTGTGAACATCTGCAGCACTACTGCATAGCCCGCCCCTCCCCCAACAAGGCCATGCCTCCTAATTCCCCCTGAGCAGTCCACCAACTGGGAACCAAACAGTCAAACACATGAGCCAATAGGGGCCATTCTCATCAAACCACCACAGATCACACAATGCCATTCTTTGTTATTGTTGATCAAAATGGCTTTGCTTATTAGGGGTTTTTGGTGTTTCATATAAGCTCTAGAGTTGTTTTTATATAGTTCTGTGAACTGCTATTTCCATATTTTGATAAGATTTTTATTGACTCTGTCACTTGAATCATGTGGCTATTTTAACAATACTGATTTTCCCGATTCAAGACTGTGAGATGCCTTTCCACATTTTTCTTTTCCAATTTCTTTTCATCAGGGTTTTTAGATATCTGTTTTAGAGGTCTTTCATCTATTTGGTTAAATTCATTGGGAGGTGTTTAATTTCTTGGTAGCTATTGTAAATGGGATGGCTTCCTTGATTTCTAGTTCAGATAATTTTCTATAGGTTTGTACCAACACTATTTGTCTTTGTATGTTGGTTTTATAACTTATAATCTCACTGAATTCATATATTAGTTCTAATAATTATTGCAGAGTTTTAG